TCACCTGCCTGGATTTACCACACGCTAGCCTGCTAATTATTAGGTATTCCAATCAAACAAACATGCTTAAAATGCTGATTGCAGTGATATTGAGAGTTATAATTTACACGGGGTAAGGTTTGATATTAGCAGCTCTCTTGTTAGGGAAGTACAGCATTAAGGCATTTTATTCTTCTGCTTATATAGATAGCCAGCAAAGGTTGCAAAGGGTGAACGGTGGCAAATAAAAATAAAAGCAAAACTTGTATTTATTAAAAGGCTATGGACACTGCCCTGTACTGTCCCTAAATACATTGATATGAAAGAGATTCTAAACATGTCATACTTACCTGCTCTGTGGAATGGTTTTGCATAGAGCAGGCCCTGATCCTCTTCTTTTTGGGTCCGCCGCTGGCAGTCTTGGCACCTCCCCCCTGCCGAGTGCCCCCAATAGCAAGCCTCTTGCAATGGGGGAGCTTAAGCAGGCTTGCTCTCAAGCCGCGCTCCTGTAATTGCACACACAGAGCATGGCTCAGACCTGCCCCCCACTCTCTCCCCATTGGCTCACTAGCTGTCTTTGATAGCAGCAGGAACCAATAGGCCCGCTGCTGTTTGAGCCAATGAGGAGAGATAGACCAGGGAGAACCTCTGCTCTCATGGATCAAGATGAGGATTTAGTAAGTATAAGGGGGGCTGGGACTACCCCCAGAAGGTTTTTTACCCTAATGCATATAATGCATTAGGGTAAAAAAACCTTTTACCTTGAGAACCACTTTAAAGTCAAAAACAAAAAAGTAATATATCGCAGCCAGGGGCGGACTGACCATTTGGAAACTTGGGCACTGCCCGAGGGCCCAGGGTCAGTAGGGGGCCCCATGAGATGCCCCTGGTACCTTTTTTCATAGGCTTTTTTGAGTTTGGGCAAGGACACAGGGGCCCCATGATCCCCTATTGCCCGGAGGCCCCATGAGTTGTCAGTCCGCCCCTGATTGCAGCTTACCAATTCAAGCTGATGACTGCAATAGTGCAAACTCTCCTTCCCCCACATGGTTCCCAGGCTCTCCCAATCTTATCCAAGACTACCTCCAGCTGCTTCTGGTTGGTGAGTGGGAAGAAACTGAGGAACTTTCCCCCGATTTCCTCTGCACTGAATGAAACCTGAAGCAACATTATTTTGCCATTTCCGGTTTTCCCATGGGGGCACTCGTTCAGCTCAAACCTTGCGTCTATTGAAACACACAGTAAGGCTCCGCCCCCCCAGCTCCCTCCTCAGGATTTCATTGACAGCAGCAGGAGCCAGTGGTTCTCACTGCTGCCTCTGAGTCCTGTGAGGAGAGAGAGAGCCCAGAGCTGCTGCTCTTGGGTACAGTGCTGGATCAAGGTCGGGATCAGGTAAGTATTTAGGGGGGAGCTAAGCATGAAAATTACATTAAGATAAAAAAACCTTTAGCCTTTACAACTACTGAAAGAAAGATGTGGCTGCTATTACCAGGTCATAGAACTTTTTTGCCACCAATAACCAAGACACTGCTCTTAAAGGGACGACTACTACTGCTGCATCTGGCAGACTTAAACCCTCCGTCCTAGAATTGACTTTAGCAATAAAAAGTAAAAAGACTAAAGTGACTGGTACCCAACTTCTACTTCTCCCAATATACACCAAGAACAGGAGCCCATGATGGAAATGTTAGCCTGTCACAGTTAGGGGGCATTCTAAAAGAAGGAGTGCTACAAAGGCCTTTGCAGGAAAAAACACATAAAAAAATAAAGTATTTTAAATGCTTACTTGCAGCATTTTTTCTTTTCATGGATGATGTTTTATTCACTTGTAATGTACATTTGACATTGCCATAACATTTGACTACTCCCCCTGCTCTTCTAGGAGTGTTTAATTACTCCCTGTGCTGGACTAGCTCCTCCAACCCTCCTCTCACTGCCCTACATAACCATTTATGTAGCTGCCAAGAGCAAAAGGAAATAGTCTAGAGCACGGTGTTAAACTGCGGCCCTCCAGCTGTTGAGAAACTACAAGTCCCATCATGCCTGTGTCAGCCCTGCAATGCCATATGGGATTTGTAGTTCCGTAACAGCTGGAGGGCCGCAGTTTGACACCCCTGCTCTTGAGTGACAGCTCTGAGTCTGCTGGGCCTGCTGACATCACATTCAAGATGGCAGTGCCCAGCAGCAGTCTTAGGCCTTTTGGATGTCTACACAAGGAAAACTTCTACATGTAAATAACATGCCCATATAATCTTACTGGAAGATTGTTCTTGAAATTAATGGTCTCTTGGCAACGTCTTTTAGATGTATTTTAATGCAACCAATTAGGCTCTACTGCATTCACATGTGCTGAAAAAAAAACATGCTGACATGTAAGAGGAGAAGAAGGATGACCTCATCTGTTTGCTGCTACTCTTCCATTGTCCAGTCACAAGTTGGGGCCATACAGGTGACCAAGCTGTGCTGCCTGCCTGCAGTAGAGGAAAGTGAGGGTGCCAACCTGACTTTACTGTTTCTCTGTATAATTTTCAGCAGGTAAAACATCACATATGTATTTCAAATGTTTATTTAGATCAAGGATCTTCAAATTTTCTAAACAAAGAACCAGTTTACTGTTCTTCAAACTTTAGGGGGGCTGGACTGTGGCCAGTGGGAGTAGAAAATATTCTGGCATCAGTGGGAGTAAACAATGCCCCATCTTTAAAATTAGGAAGAGAAATAGAGCCCCATCTTTGGTGTCAGTGGGAGGAAGAATACCCCATCGTTGGTGTCAGTGGGAGGAATAGTGCCCCACTGTTGGTGTCAGTGGGAGGAATAGTGTCCCATCATTGGTGTCAGTGGGAGGAATAGTGCCCCACTGTTGGTGTTAGAGGTAGGAATTGTGCCCAATATTGGTACTAATAGGAGGAATAATGCCCCAATATTGGTGTTAATATGATGAATAATGCCCCATTGTTGGTGTCAGTGGAAGGAATAGTACCCCACTGTTGGTATTATAGGTAGAAATGATACCCCCAATATTGGTGTCAATAGGGGGAACAGTGTCCCAAAAGCCAGATGAAGACAGGCAAAGGGCCTCATCCAACCCCTCAGCCATAGTTTGGAGATGCTGATCTCCATAAGAAGTCAGTGCACTTGTCGATTCTGAGTGCCAAGCAAATGTGGTACATTGTATCAGTGAATGTAACATTGGTCACTGTGTCAATTACAGGAACATGAACAAACCCAAATGTTAGTTCATTTCTTTTAACAGGGTGATTTGTGTAGAAAACAATGACAGCAAATGAGCTTTTAAATTAAGCAAACGATTAGTCATTACACTAATAGCAAAGTCTTGATAAATTAGACATTCTGTGTGTTATAAGTAGACCCCACAGAATATACAAACAATTTAAAACAGACAGAATTTATATTAAATTTACATATACAATATCTAACAAATCATCCAGTACACCGTTTAGCAGAATTAAAGCAAGGGCGAGAGAATAAAAATAGAGAGTAATTGTATGTGTGAATTGTAAATTGACCATACAATACATTTGATCAAAACAGACATTAAGGCACCATTCACACCTTTTTCATCATGGGAATGCACGCAGTAACGTGTATTCAAAGAAACATGCAAAAAAAATGGCTCAAAACGCACAATGCGCTTGCGATGCCATTAATTCTTAATTCTTAATGGCACCCAAAATGCAGGTAGCAGTTGCATGATTTGTCACGTGACAAAATGTGCCATTATGCACATTATTAAAATGCAGGATGGTCAGTACAAAAAGAAGGTACAGTAGCTACTTTAGTGCATTTGTCGCAGGGCAGCTCATTTACATGAATAGGCTGCCCTGTACTATCGCACGATAAACGCACAAAAAAAATGTGTGAAAATACATGCGCAGGTGTAAATAAGTGGCAGCTTTAAAATGGAACTAAAGTCTGCAAATACTCACCTTCGCTTCAGCGATGCAACGTCCACCAGCACCCGTGCAGGTGCAGATATTTTCTCCCCGGAAATGGTGGATTCAACTGTCTTGTTTGGTTAGCCTAGGAATGATGTTACTCCCATGCATGTGCACAGGAGTTTGTTAATTCCAGCACCATGGTGGGCCAAGAAAGTACCCTGAACTGCACACACTGGCCTGCTCACAATTCTTAATTTTGTTACTGCAGTGCTGCTTTATAGCTGAACTGAAGACAAACAGCTAAACACGAAGATGAAATACTGACATACAGTATATGAAAGCTGTTTTACTTATCAATGCATTTGTATTTTTGTCCATACAGTTCTGAGATTTACACTGCTCTATCACATACCACAGCTATATTTGGAAGGGGAGGAGACCAGATTTTTTCAGTACTGCAGTTAAGCTTCACTTACAGGTCTTGTCCCTCCTCTACTGCAAAACAACATACTCAAAGAATTGCTGGGAACTTTTAGACTTACATGTGTAGTCAAATGAAGGAAAACTTCAGAAAAGTTCAATACCTCTGGTGAGCAATGATGGGTCGAACACCCCCCTGTTCAGTTCACGGTCGAACATTCGAACATAATGAAAGTTCAACCACAAACTTCGAACAGAGGGGACAGTTCACTAAGCGGTGTCTTACCACATCTGAGTATGCAGTAAGATACTGCACAGTTACTAAAAATATTCTTTAATGCTTCAGCTGTCAATGGGGTTCCCCGGCATTTGTAAAATGTAAAAAAAATAAAGCCCAAATTATTAAAAAAATGGTGTGGGGGACTCCCGAAAATCCATACCAGGCGCTTATCCGAGCATACAGCCCAACAGGTCAGGAAAGGGGGGATGAGCGAGCGCCCCCCCCCCGAACCATACCAGGCCACATGCCCTCAACATAAGGCGGGTGCTTTGGGGCAGGCCCCACCCCAACCACGTTGTCCCTATGTTGATGGGGACAAGGGCCTCTTCCCCACAACCATGGACGGTTGTTGTAGGGGGTTTGCAGGCAGGGGCCATATCGAAATCTGGAAGCACCTTTAACAAGGGAGCCCCCAGATCCCGGCCCCGCCCCCTTGTGACATCACCATGCACTGTGATTGTCAGGGCACAGTGCACCGCCAAACACACCAATGGCCCATGTTTGAGTTGAACTAACGTTCAGGGGCGGACTGACAACTCATGGGGCCCCTAGGCAATAGGGGATCATGGGGCCCCTGTGTCCTTGGCCAAACTCAAAAAAGCCTATGAAAAAGGTACCAGGGGCATCTCATGGGGCCCCCTACTGACCCCGAGCCCTCGGGCAGTGCCCTAGTTTCCAAATGGTCAGTCTGCCCCTGCTAACGTTTGATTCAAACAAATAGCCCATCACTGCTGGTGAAGTGGCTTCCACACAGCAAGACTTCCCTTGATGGGCACCCAACAGTATCACAAACCATGGAAATACAGAAAGGAGCATCAAACCAAACCGGATAAAAGAAGCCAAGATCATTTTAATTGTTAGTAAGTCTTTAAAGACAGTCAACGCATTTTGGGGGAAACCCCATTCTCCCTTCAGCCCCCGCTCACATCAAAGCTGATTTTGAAATCGTGCGACTTACAGTGAAGTCGCACGATTTCAAAATCGAATGACCTTCTGATTTCAGTTGCGATTTGCAAGACATCTGACACAGATGTCTTTGCAAATCGCAACAAAAGTAGTGCATGCATTACTATAGAAATCGGTGCAAATCCGACCAAAATATGACCGCTCTAATAGCGGACAATAGGTTGCGACTTGGCATACGATTTGCAAGTCGCAGCGCATGCAAATTGCATGCCAAGTCACACCCAATGTGACTGGGGGTGTTAACGGGGCTCAACACAAGATAAAACCTGAACAGTGACAGTTTACTGATCTATATTAAAACCATTATGGAACTCTCCAGATGGAGTAATAACTTATAGTCAGTTGCTGGACAGCAAATGAGGCTGTGGCAAGACAGTGAGAGGAGAAGACTGATGAGGTCATCTCTCTGGCACTCTGTTCTCTCCCTCTATCAGCACAGTCCTTGTTAGCACATAAGCACCACAGCACAAATGGTTGATATGGATGTATTAATGCTCTTATATCTTCCCAGAATTCAGATGTAACTGTGTTAACAGTATATAGGAAGAGAAGAACAACATTTTATATAATATCTATCTATCTATCTATCTATCTATCTATCTATCTATCTATCTATCTATATATATACATATACATTTGTGTGTCTGGTGGTTGTTTAGATCACTAGTAGTACTTCCCAGAGAGTTCAGTCCACTTCAGAAATGCAGTTTTAGGTCTAGTCGGCCCACTTTTGTTAAAAAGAAAGAAAAATTTCACCAAAATCAGTGGCCCCAGCAGGGGTTTCCACCATCAACACAACTTTACTGATATTCAGTCTCCTGCATCGCTGCTCAGGCCTTGTGCCTCGGTTCTCCTGACCATCTAACACAGTATCCCTGTGTTCACGTACGAACACTCTATCAGCTCTCTTGTTCTTGCAGCTCCTTGCTGCTCCAGGTTTCAGGCTTGGGCCATTTGTCAGTTCTATCACAGTCTGCACCATGCCGACATGCTCACCTCTGGTTGCTCTCTCGCAACCACATGGACCCCTCTGGAGGGTGAAGCCCCCTTCTACTGTCAGGTCCCAGACTATACCAGTTGTGAACACTTACACCATCAGTGTGTCAGTTGCCTGCAAAACCAAGACCCAGAATTGGAGATTTCCTCTCTCCCAAATCTCTATGAAATCTCTGGGCTCCAGCTCCCAAGCCAGATCCTACCAACCACAGTTTCCTCCGAATAAAATGAGCATCTTTGAGCCCCTCAGCCCGCTTGCTGAGAATCCTGGGTGACACAAAACCCTTTTAACGCCAGGACAGGGCACCTTACTGTCACAATATTTTTTTTTTATATTATATACAGCATTAAAAGGAAAGGAATCTTGATAACAGCCGATTCTGCCACATGCTATAATAGTTACAGAGTTCCCCAAAGAGTACCAATGATGTCTCTCTGATGTTGAAATAGAATCAATCTCGGGATGCCTTTCCTTCAAGCTAGAGATTAGACTTCCAGTAACGTGGTAATAACGTTTTTGCAGCATTTATAAGGGAGGTTTGTAAAATATTCATGTGCAAGTTACATGATTAATCATCCAAATTTAGCTCCAAATTCAGATGTATAGAAAGACCAATAATATTTTTATGGGTTTAATAATTGTTTTCCAATATCAGTAGAGTTTGGAAGAGTAAAACCATCTATGGATAAGTGGACCGACATCATCCCTACATCTCCGACAGATAGGACTGTGGTTATATGCATCTCATTATAGACCAAGTATCATCCAGATACCAATTTTAAAGGATAAGTTCACCGTCCTTTTGTAATATGTTACACCTATATTCAGGGAGTAATATGTTATTGTTCCCGATGTGACAACAGGTGGAGGATCTTCTCCTCGCAATCACTGTCACAATAAAAAAAAAAAGACGCCTGGCTTTATCATTCATTCACAGAGTTCTGTGAATCAGAGAATTACAAGTACCGACAGCATGTGCAGCTGTCGGATGGTAGTTCTCAATTAACTACCAAGGCACTGTTGAGCACTCTGGTAGTTCATTGATGCTTTCTGTCATTGTGTAACTGCCTGCCTGTACGAGGTACAAACAGACTGCTCACACTGACTGTCTGCAAGAGCCGTGCATTGCACCCACAAACTGTTGATCAACGGATGCAATGCTTGCACACTTATAATAAAAAAAAAAATGCACATTTTTTTACCTGCAAAAAAAATGTGCATTTATTATTATTTCTTTTTTTTTACAAAGTTGAACTTATCCTTTAAAGTTGTAAAGGCTGGAGTTTTTTTACCTTCATGCATTCCATGCACAAAAACCCTGCACGCAGCAGTGCCCCGAGCCCCCTCAGTAATTACCTGAGCCCCATCAAGATCCAGCGATGTGCACAACAGCCTTGGCTGTCCTGGGTCTCTGCCTCCTCATTGGCTGAGACAGCAAGCAGGAGCCATTGGCTCCCACTGCTGTCAATCACAGCCAGTAAACCAATAAGGAGAGAGCGGGCAGGGCCAAGCCATGGCTCCATGTGTGAATGGACACACGGAGCAGCGGGTGCCCCCATAGCAAGCTGCTTGCTGTGGGGGCACCTGGCAGGAGTGAAGGGCCAGGACAGCCTGCGGGGGACCCGAGAAGAGGAGGATCCAGGCTGCTATGTGCTAAACCACTGCACACAGTAGGTAAGTATAGACATGTTTGGAATTTTCCCCCCCAAAAAATGAACCATTAGAATCGCTTTCAGAGTAATTCTCAGTGTCTGCAATCTGCCGTGTTGTAAATGTAGAATTAAGGCTCTTTTTCAAATGTGTTCATCAAGTTAGAAATTAACAATTTTATACTCATTTATCAGCAAATATTTCTATAGAAAAGTTATAGGGATATATATATATATATATATATATATATATATATATATATATATATATATATATATATAAAAAAAAACAAGGTAGCATAATGGAGTTTCTGCCATTAGTCACCAATCAGATTCCTTGTTTAATTTTCATATAGAATAAACGATAAAACTTGATTGGTCATTGTGGTTAATAAGCTCATTTATCTGTCTGTGTTCTGTGTGTTTATACAGAATAAACCTTTTTTTTCCTATTTTAAACTGGATGGGTTGTTTTACAAGGTGAGGGTTCACGTATACTTGGTTCATGTATACTTTAAGAATCTTCACTCGATAAATGGAGGCCATGGTCATTTTTTAATCCCCAGATGAATTAAATAAAGAGGCTTATGCATTTCACATGGCTGGATAATTAAAGTGAATCTTTACTAAACGTATTGAGGGAAGAGTCCTAACTCGTAAAATCTTGCAGTAAATCTGCCTCATTGTTAGAAGCTCTTATTACTGTACCTAATACCTACTAAAAAGTAATTATTTTTCAAAATGGCAGCCAAAACATGAAGACAAAGGAAAAGGCGAGAAAGTAATACTTGTGTTGAAACACTCATGAACTTTAAGAAATGGAAAAAAATGTTAACCAACAGGATTTTTAATACTAGTTATTTAATAATTAAAACTAATTTAACTATTAATTAAAGTTTCTAAACTGCATATCTGCACTTCTGCCAATACTGGGATGAATGAAATGATGTCATCTTGTCTAGGCCAATGAAAAAGGCTGGAGATTGATATCCAGAAGCAGACTGGCCAAAGATGTCAGCAGCAGGTGGAAGCTCTGGGACAATGCAGCATTGGCGAGACGATGAGTATAGTTCAGCTTTCAGCTAGAGGGCTGATGATTTTCGGAAGAGACGAGCATGACTTGAGCACCGCTTCCAACAGTCTTCTGAGGATTAACATGAGAGCAAGCATCAAAAGAACTTTGGTATATTAATTCCGTAAAGCGGTAGTAAACTCCACTTTGTGATTTTTACCTACAGGTAAACTTAAAATGAATATCTCCTAAATGTGCACCGTTTAGGAAATATTCACTCTTTTTTGGCAGCCGGCACATGTGCTCTGTAGGAATGTCATACCTGTGTCATTCCTTAATAGCACTGTGCCGTGGTCTGTGACTCCTGCACTCATGCGAAGGGGTGACGTCATTGCGGCTCGGCCAGTCAGTTGGCCGGAGCTCGCGAATCCGGAAGGAAGACTGAATGAAGATGGAAGCCCTGTCAGCAGTGACAGCGCACTACTGGAGAGCTTCTTTCTAAGGTAAGCATTTCATAATGTGCTAGTATGCGATGCGTACTAGCACATTATGCAACTGTCTTGCACTCCCTCCTGCCTGTATGCCTGAGCTAAGGGCAGATGTGTTCCAGGAAGTAAATGCTACATGAGCTACCGGTGAGCTTGAAACTTCCTGTGCAGTTTGCATTGCTGTTTCACGCATTGTGTCAGCCCTGCCTGGATTCTCTATAATTGTCCTGACCGCCAATGTCACCGGAAATTAAAGTGAGGATTATTCCAAAATTTTGAGTTGCCACCAGCAGAGGAATAGTGGGTGAAATCTTTGTTTGGGGACACTTGTTCCTGTGACAACTGTCTAATCAAGGGTTTTTCACATTGAAATGGCATCCTTTCACT